TGGGAGGATGGCCAATCTCCTCCCATGTGATTTACTCTTCTGAAAATTCACTGGAGGTCAGCTGGTTCCGACTTGATGGCATACACCACCAACAACAGCGTAAACTACAAACAATTTAGGCCTTATTGTTGTTGTTAGGTGTCATTAAGTCAACAATGGCTCACAGCAACACTGTGACAAACAGGTCTGACCCTGCTCTACGCTGCGCCAGCCTCACCGTCTCTAAGATGCCGAGTCCACTGCGGCAGTCACTGTGACAATCACCTTGTGGGGTCTTCCTCTCCTTCTCTGACCCTGCACTTTCCAACTATGATGTCTTTTTTCCAAAGACTGGCCCCTTGTCACAACAGGTCCAAAATAAGTGAGACCAACTTCCTCCACCCTTGCCTCTAAGGAACAAGCAGGTTGCATTTTCTCTAAGGCAGGAGTCCTGGGGTCTCTAGCACTCTTCTCCACCACCACTGTTCAAAGGCACCGATTCTTCTTCTGTCATCCTTCCTCACCGTCCACATCCAGACGCACAGGAAGTGACCAAGGATCACAGTTTGGCTCAGACACACCATAGTCCTCAAACTGACATCCTTGCCCGTTAGCCTCTGGCTAGAGCCTGGGCTAGTGAGCACGTCCAGGGCTGCGTCTGTGGGTCGAAACACGTATTTCATCAATTCCTGGGGATGTATTTTTTGGTAATGTCTTCATCCTTCCTTCATTACCATGGTTCTTGATCGTATGCTACGTCCGGAAATGGTTCTGTGTGAGCCAGTCTTTTGAGCGCATTGACTCCGTGTTTTCCTTTCATCTTCCTTTGCTGCTTCCTGCATCATTCAAGATTTTGCCCCTAGACTCCTTCAGAACTGCAATTTGAGGTTGGAATTTATCTTTCAGTTCTTTCAGTTTGAGAAAAGCTAAGCAAGTTCTTCTCTTTTTATTTTCTTACTCCTGTGCTTCACACATTTCCTTGTAGGATTTTGCTTTGTCTTTGAAATCTTCTGTTCATCACTTTTACTTGCATATTCCTTCCCTTTGTTTGGGACTCTATACATTCTAGCACGATTTTCAGTCAATTCTGACATCCATGTAGGTCTTTTCTTCCTGCCTTCTCTTTGTAATGATCTCCTGTCCTGCTTTCCCCCTGGGGAGATCCTTGGTGTCAACCTCGTCTGGTTAATCATGTGGTCAGTGCCCACATGTTCTTCCGAGCTGTAAATCCAGGCGGGATGGACACCAGGCTGTGTTCTGATGTCTGTGGTCTTGTTTGCCTTTTCTCAACTTCAATTGGCCAGATGATGCTAAAAATCACAATGTGCTTCCTTAGTTCTACTGTCTTCTAAATTAACACGAAAGCAACACTTAATAACACAATTTCACACCACCATGAAATGGTGTAAGATTTATAGCTTACAAAAAGAAAACCATCTAATTAGAAACAGAAAGAACACTGTGTAAACAGATGCTTCAAAACACGGAGATGTATCCACTTGGCAAGCTATCTGGTCCCCTGCTTTCAGCCCAGTCATAGCACGAGCTTAGCGCAGAGCTGTCTGACCGCTGAGATGTTAATGTCCTCGCCACAAAGACCTGCTTTTCTTGCTCACCACACCAAAGTCCTGTCTGCTTTTCTGGGCCAACTCCTCTCACTTTCCCAAGAAGTCTGACTGAATGTTCCAGCCCTTTCGAAACAGCAGAGTGGAGCGTGCAGCGGGCTCTGGTGGTGAGCTGCGCGGTTAACCTCCAAGCCTTATGTCTCCAACAGTTTGGATCATCTACAGGGGCTCCAAGTGAGAAGGACGGACAATCTCCTTTCACGATTCTCAGCCTTGGAGACCTGAGCCGCCGGGCAGGGGATCCAGGTGCGGTGTGCTCACCCTGGGGTGCCAAGCATCAGCAGGCCTCATTTCCCCCACCTGCTGTGCGGACCCCCGCTGTTGAGTCAATGCCCCTCTTTTGGGTTTTCTCAGCAGGAGCTCACTGTTCCTCTCTCTCTGGAAGAACGCTTGGTGGGTTTGAACTGCCGACCCTGGGTTAGGAGCCCAGCACGGGAGGCACTGTGGCTCCGGTGCTCCCTGTGCTGACTCCAGAACCTTCCACAGCAGCCTGGAGGCTGGCACTGACTGACTGCAGATCTGAGCCTCCTTCAGGAGCCGTGCTCCCCCAGCAGACTGTGCAGGGATGCAGTGACAAGCCTCCATTACCAGGTGGTGGCCGTGCCCGAGGGCGGGGTCTTACCATTGGCCTGGGGCTTGGTGCTCAGAGCCGCCTCCTGGACGTCCACCTCCTCCATGGCATCGCTCATCAGATCCCGGAGAATCTGCTGCTGCGCCTCAGGAAGCACGGGCCCGCGGGAGGGCGGCCGGCCCCTGGGATCTGCCTGCAACCAAAGGGCCGATGGAAGACGCTGAGGCCTCACCAGCCCAGCAGCGCAGGAGCGTCTGTCTGGAGGTTAGCTCACGTCAGAAAGCCAGAAACAGTAAGACACGTTTTGATATCCTACTCATCGGCTGTTGTTCATTTTACACATTTAATATTCCCTCCACTAATCACTGGAGAACGGAAATAAACGTGATCACCATGAAGCCAGTCAAGTGGACTGAGGTCTGGAAAAAGGGAGTGAGTCTAGGGGAGGAGTTAGCATCTCACACGGGATCCACTCTCACCTGTCATGAGCAGCCGTCATGACCTCAGCCCACCGAGCCCACTAAAGCCTCAGCTGTAGGCCTCACTGGGCACGGCCTGGCTTCAGGGGACCGGCCCTCAGGACAGGAGGAAGCAGAGGGCTGGGCCTGGCTGCTGGGGACAGGCCCTCAGGACAGCAGGGAGGATGTACAGGGTGGGGGTGGCGGGATGTATACTGAATGGTGACCACAGGGTTAGCACCAGTGCCCACCCTTATGGTCAGTGAACTGTGCATCCACGAGACCCAGGACTTGCTTCAGAAAATGGAAAGATCTAGTCTGAAATGGACACATTCAAATAACTGTCAACAAAATGAGGACAGAACCAAGTAGGAGACAGGCTGTCATTTCACCTCACTGTCAGGAAGGACAGAGCAGAACCAGGTCTGGGGGTTCAGAACAACAGCCAAGGGGTGCTAGGGTCACGTGGCTCAGCACAGTCCACATCCTATTGTGGGACGCAGCCCTGGGGTTTCGGAGCTTGTGAGCAAGCAGCCACTTGACGTGCAACCCTGGGCCTCTCCCGTTCAGAGTAAAGAAGAGAAAGTCAGATAACTCGTCCAAAGGACGGAGGCCACGTGAACGGAGCCTCCCGCCTTGAGGCCAATGACTAGTCAGTGCCTGTTCCCACTGCCCACCGCTCAGAAGGGGACAAAGCACAAAGTTCCCTACAGAGACAGGAAAATGTAGAAATACAGAACAATCATAAGAAAGACTTGGCTTACTGGTCTGACAGGTGGAACCCCAGACGATAGATCTTAGTCACCCCTCAAGTCTGGAACTCAGTTTACCTGTGGCTCAACTTCTAATCAAATGGCAGACAGGCCAATATGTGATCACTGTCAGTATTGAGGTACCACGTTCTTAAAAGAACCCATCAAATGAGAAGAAAAAGGCAGTGCTTGCCTCGGGATGAAATGGAGAAGACAGGAAATAATAAGAAGAATAAGTGGAGATAGGAGCCCGAGGAGGCGATGGAAAGGGCAACGCTGGGAGGATCCTCACGTCACCAAGAAACGGCAGGGACTGATTACGAGAAAACCAATTCCATCTATACATTTTCACCCAAATCACAATAAAAAGCTCAAAACAACAACAATAAAAAATGGTGCAAGAGCAGGAATCACAACGCACAGTGATCTCCACCGGACAATGATGCACGAATGAGTCGGAGCCTCACAGAGCACGCGGTCCAGGGGCCAACAATTCCATCCATGGGGACATGTGCTCCAGGGGCCAATTCCACCCATGGGGACACATGGTCCAGGGGTCCAGGGGCCGACAATTCCACCCACGGGGACATGCAGTCCAGGGGCCGAGAAGTGCACCCACGGGGACACGTGGTCCAGGGGCCGAGAAGTCCACCCACGGGGACACACGGCCCAGGGGCCGACAATTCCACCCACGGGGACATGCAGTCCAGGGGCCGAGAATTCCACCCACGGTGACACGTGGTCCAGGGGCCGAGAATTCCATCCAC